ACACATTGTAACAGTGAATAATTAATTACTGCTTCAGTTAATGGCTATATTAGACTATATTATAAAACAATTATACCATTCGCTCTCGTCGTATATGGCTGATAGCCGACTCGGTGTTACGCACCTCGTCGGCTATCAGCTCATATACGACTCGAGCTCATGGTATAATTGTTAAATAGTAGGGTGATTTAAAGCAACTTTAAACGTATAAAAAACTATTTTGTATACAATATTCTGATGAGAATCTTTGTTCACAACAATATCGATTGTGAGCGTGTGCTCGCGCGAATTTAGTAAGCGGAATAAACAAGAGCAATAAAAGCGCATGCGCCATTTATCTCAATTTGGATAAAAAAAATTCGATTTCCCCAGAGTCATGCCACTACCTAACCCGCGAACAGGCATACTCTGGGAACGAGATTGGCTATCGATCTTCGACCACTATACAAGAAAAATGCGAGCCGAAACCTATACTCGTCGGGGGTTGTCACAGGTGCCCCAGCGAGTAATTATCGTTCTCGCACTAAATTATGCAGTAATTGTAAACTAGCCAATCAGAAGCGAAGACCAGAAACAGGTCATATCGACGTCATCAGTATGGAATGTTTGGGGTTATTTTGCAGACGGACTTATCACGACGAAGGAGTGAATCAGGCCGGCTGTATTCGCAGGCTAGATTTCTGAAGGTTTAATTAGTCACCAAGTTTTGAAATTTAAAATTGAGGAGCACTTCATGTCAACAGCACCAAATTTATAATTTGGCATCTTTTGAAGAGAAATTGGGCAAGGCAGGGGCGGTGCATGCAAGAGTCAGATGTGGGGGGGGGGGAGGTAACTCCCCTATGTAGAAATTCTAGCCCCTCCCCAATCAGGGAAGTGCAATATAGCCTACTGGGTAGAATTATGTTTTGTAATGACCATGTTTTGTAGTGCTGGTAAATGCACTGCTATACAGACAATAAATTCTGCATGATTTCAGGTCCAAAAAATTCAACTTTTTCATGTGTGGGCATAAGTTGAACATACAAAATAATAATTTTACTGTTTGTTAGTAGTAATATAGGTACCGTTCGACCCTTATTTTTGTGGTGGAATGTGGTGGAGTGTGGTGGAGTGTGGTGGAGGGAGGGTGCGTAATGACGTCACTCATTAACATACGTCATAATTATATGCAATGACGTCACGCGGGCGAGCTTAAACACGATCAGGCGAAACGTGCTGACGACGCATTTTTTAGCGTCCCCCCACGTGTGTGGTACAATGGAGGGATTAATGTTGGCTTACTATGATTGGTTGTTTGATTTAACGAGCGTCTGTATAAAATCGACAAGCGTCCTGTAACAAACATAGTTCTGCATTAGTTCTACATCAGTTATGGAGTGTCTACACGGAAAAGCTGCTGCCTCTACAACTACAAACAATGGTACATTTTGGTTTTGTGGGGAAAAACCAAGCTGTGAGTTCTTTTGCCCGTACGAAAATTGTTATATGTATACGAGAGCTGTAGCTGCGTTTCGTGCAAGTGGTTCTATACATCCCGTATGTCCTACACATCAGAAATTTGCCAAGTTATGTGTGGTCAAAGACACAATGAAAGATAATTACGGACGACCCTTCTTCGTATGTTCTGAGCGAAGGAATTCCTGCAAGTTCTGGCAATGGGGAGACGTATTTGAAGGTCCAAGACCGTTATGTCAACATGGAATGGTGTGCTGTGAACGAAAAGTCAAGAAAGATGGTCCGAATCAAAATCGTCTGTTTTACTGCTGTCCGAAGGACGACTCTTGTGGTTTCTTCGAATGGAAGCAACAAGGCCCTCGGGTGACCAACACTGGCATCGTGCTCTTCAGTAATCCACTACAATACCAGTACATGATTGAAGAAACAGGAGAGACATTTAAATAGTTCTAAATCTAACACTAAGGAAGCCTATGATGAATTTCGTAGATTTGGTTTAACAAGTGAACTTGATAAAATAGACCTCTTGTAATAATAATACGTTGCTAGTTAATTAATGTAAATTTGCATATATTTACTGAAATAAATACTGTGTGTCTCATTTGTTGTTCAATCGTTGTGGTGAGAGTATCATGGATAACATAGATATAATTTTTGATGAGTTGAAACGAAATGAAATTGATATTGATAAGCAAACTTTATCGTTTCATATAAATACAATTCTCGACCGCCATCGAGATCTATATCGTGCAGTGAATGCTCGTGATCTAAACCTTGACTAAATCTACAGAGAGATCAATGTAACAAACTTTGGTTGTATTATTGCCTATTTAGCTTTGATATGTGTACAAAATGATAGCGAGGAATCTATTCGTCACAATGTACAAAAAACCATCGAGGCATGTCGAATTTTTACTATTCCCAAACATAAACGAAGTAAACGTCCAATTTTAATAACACTCTCACTCACACTGATCGCTTTATATATCGGTCTATAATTACTGCCTGTTTCATTTTGTTCAAACCTCTGAGGAGTAAGGATGCCTTGCTGTAAAGGTTTACCACAAATTTCTCTTCGAAACATTTTTCGAAAAGTACGCTGTATTTCTGCTTGCTGTGGTGGAAAAATTGTAATTCAAGCCTCAGACATCGATGGCGGAGAAATATCTAAGCCAGATCTATTACGATCCAGAAAGCCCCGCAAGTTTTGGTGGCGTAGATTCCATTTATCGCGCCGTGAAAAACGAAGGGAAATATGAGATATCGCGGAATAAAATACGCCAATGGTTATAAAGCAAGATACTTATAGATTGCATAAACCTGTGAGATATCGCTTCAGGCGTAACCGTGTTATAGTTGGAGCCATGGATGATGAGTGGGAGGCAGATTTAGTCATTATGGATTCATTAAGTCAACAGAATAATGGGTACAAGTACGTTTTAACTGTTATTGATGTACTCAGCAAATATGCGTGGGTTGAAGTGATAAAAGCAAAAACTGGGAACAATCTTGTCAAAGCCTTTGAGAAAATAATCAAGAAAGGCCGTAAACCGAAAATGTTTCACACTGATAAGGGGACGGAGTTTATCAATAGACAGTTTCAAACCTTTTTGAAGAAACATGGCATTCGATTTTTTACGACGTACAACGAAACCAAGGCATCAATTGTCGAAAGGTTTAATCGCACGCTCAAGACGAAAATGTGGAAATACTTTACAGCGAACAATACGCTCAAGTACGTGGACATTCTCCAGAAACTGGTCAAATCTTATAATCGTTCTCGACATCGTAGTATTGGTATGAGACCGGTAGATGTGAATAAAAGTAACGAGAATATTGTGTGGCAAACACTCTACGGGAAGGAGTCGAAAAAATCAATCCAGTTTAAGTTTAACATTGGGGACCAAGTCCGGATTAGCAAAGCAAAGCGAACATTTAAGAAAGGATACTTGCCCAATTGGACTGAAGAAGTGTTCACGGTAACGAAACGCGTGCCTCGACGACCGCCTGTTTACAAGATTGGAGATTATGACGGTGAAGAACTGGAAGGAACATTTTACGAGCAGGAACTTCAGAAAGTCAACAAATCAGACAGTGACTATTATAGAGTAGAAAAAGTAATAAGATCACGCATGCGTAATAAACGTAAAGAGTATTATGTAAAAAATGGTTGGGTTACCCTGACAAGTTTAATTCTTGGGTACCAGCAGAGAGTGTAAAAGATCTGAAATAAATATATTTGAAACTCATAACTTGTATTCATTTGTGTGTTGGTCTTCAATATGGCAACACAGTTTTATCTCACGTTACCGAGTAATAGTTCTATGGCTTATTTTCAAAATAATACAGTGGCAAATTTTCGAGTGAAATTGGCCGAAACCATTGTCTTGCCAGGCCAATGGGAAGTGGCATTGACGGAACTGCATTACCCACATACGTGGAGCACGCTAAAACGCGGAGTACAACAAACGTTTTTATATAAAATTGGCAGTATCCCTTATCAAACTGTCGTGCTTAAAGAAACACAATATTCTTCTATTGAGCAACTAACAAAAGCACTCAATGCCGGCATGTCAAAAGAAATACAATCGAAAGTGAAGTTTAGTTATAATCGTAGTTCTCGCAAAGTTTTGGTTGATGTAAAACACGACACAACTGTGTGGTTTACCGGAGAATTAGCAACGGTCTTGGGATTTGACCAGGACACACTTATTGAAAAGAAAACGTCGAGTCCCTATCCTGCAGATATCAATGGTGGATTTTCCTCCATGTATGTATATACTGATATCGTTGACGCACAGTTTGTGGGCGATGTGAAAGTACCTTTACTACGAATCGTTAATATCGAAGGGGAATATGGAAACACCGTTCACGCCAGTTTTCGTAATTTGCAATACGTACCGGTCAAAGTAAATTCTTTTGAGACCATTGAAGTGAATATAAAGAATGACCAAAACGAAAACGTCTCATTTGAGTTCGGAAAGTCAATCGCAACACTTCACTTTAGACAGAAGAGATCTCAGTACTTTATCTAAAAATGCGCGGAAGACTAGTTGTGGATGCTAAACTATTGAAAGACCATTTCTTGAGACAACAGCGTAGTGGGAATATCGCTGGGTTTCGTGGTGCACGTATGCAAAGGGGATATGGGATCGGAAGTATTTTTAAGAGCCTTGCGAGATATGCTATCCCTCTGTTCAAGCAAGGTGCTAAAGTTGTTGGTAAAAGAGCATTGCAAGCAGCCACAGAAGTCGGTCAAGATGTACTCCAAGGAAACAATGTAAAAGAAGCTTTTAAATCACGAGGAAAACAAGCAGTATCTGATGTTGCCAAGAAAGTAATGACCAGAAATGGTCGCAAAAAGGGTATAAAAAGATCAGCGCCAGCTAAAACTCCCATTCGCGGTCCAACCAAGAAGCAGAAAACATCTCTCGACAACTATAGTCCAAAGTGGCATGGCTCTTGAAACAATGCATAAAGACTCCTGTATGTGCTCAAAATCTTAACTCGATTTATTTTCTATTCCACCGACTCAAGTGGTAATGGAAAAAGGATTTTGGGAAGATGTTGATCCTATTACGAGTTTATCTTCTTCAGATACGATAGAATTTTTATCTGCTGCAAATTCTGGAGTTTATACCGACTTAGCAAGCAGTTACCTATACGTTAAAGCAAAGATCACTACTGCGGCCGGAGGAAATGTGGGTGCAGACATTCAAGTTGGACCTTCAAACCTTTGGATGCATGCATTATTCTCACAAGTTGAAGTATTTCTGAACAACAAACTGGTCACCCCATCAAGCACAGCATTCCCTTACCGAGCGTATATCGAAACGATCCTGAACTTTAGTAAAGATGCCAAAGATTCACATTTGACCTCAGCACTGTTCTATAAAGATAAAGCTGGAAAGATGGATGTAGTAAGCCCTCTCGCACAAGACGCCAACGTTAACACGGGATTAAAACAACGCCATGCATATACACGTGAAAGCAAATCTGTCGCCATGGAAGGAAGACTTCATTCTGATCTATTCGCGCAAGACCGTTATATTCTTGGTGCTGTTCCAATCAAGATCAAGCTGGTGAGATCTTGAGATCCGTTTTGTTTGGTATCATCCGCAGAAGATCCCAATTTCAAAGTGGTCATCGAGGAATGTTTGTTTCGTGTACGACGAGTTAACGTAGCCCCTAGTATTATACTGGCTCATTCCCAGTCCCTTCAACAAATCACTGCCAAATACCCAATCAACAGGATCGACTGCAAGGTTGTCTCCGTACCTCGGGGGAATATGTCTGGAAATCAACCTGATATATTTCAAGGTGGTTTACCAAATCGTATCGTGATTGGAATGGTCGACGCGGATGCCTTTAACGGTACATATACGAAGAACCCGTTCAACTTTAAAAA